TTGTGCGGGGAGAAGGGTGCAACAATGAATGAATGGAATTAAAGTCTCTGTAGATGTTCATTGAAATGAAAAATAAACAAACTAATAAAAAAATATATAAAAAATACTCCTGTAGTTAATTATTAACATAAAAAATTTGTGTAAACCCGTCTTACCTGTACCATTATTGCTACAAGGCTGAAACTCTATCTTAATTGGCTTATTGACCCTTCCCATGACCTCTGGTCAGAGCAGTCATTATTATCTTTTTTTATTTTTATTGTGGTTTGTGTGAAAGTTTACAAAGCTAGATGGATTTCCATTTGACCACTCATACGCATCTGTTTTAGGACATCCATGACAACATGTGCAGGGTAAATGCACCTTCCTGCTCCTTTCCTGTGATTCCCATTTCTCTTAATCCTCCTAGCCTATACTTTCTCGCCTTCTTAGTTTTACCCCTAGACAAATGCTTCCCCTTTGATCTTATGTGTTCGATTATTCTGAGAAGTGAGTGCTTTCCTGGTGTTACTGGTCGCCTTATAGGCTTGCCTGTGATTTGGTTAAAGTGCTCCAGGTTTGAAAGGTTACTAAGGGCCACAGTCTCCGGGTTTCTCCAGCCTCTACTATACCCATAGGCCGGGCTTTTTTCAGAGTTTTGTTCCACATTTTTTGCCCATTCTACCCAGGACCTTCTACTAGATCCTTTTTAGAATGGTCAACAGTGGTATCTGGGCCCCATCTAGTCCTTCTGATATGAGGGTCATGGACTTTGAGGTCCACAAGGTCCGTGAACCCTACGGGCTAATTGTTTCTCTATATCTTTGTTTTGTTTTCCTCTTTGTTCTGGACATGGAGAGACCTATAGTTGCACCTAGATTGCTGCTCACAGTTTTTAAGACCCCAGTTGCTTCTCATGAAAGTAGAATGTTCTACAAATAACATTTTTGAGACTAAAGTGTTCATTAAAAGAAGGAGAAAATGATTTTTTAGATTAATTTTACTACTATTTGAGTGACGTTTACAAACAAATTAATTTTTATTCAACTATTCATGCATATTTTGTTTAATGACATTCATTTCAATACTCAAACATCTCATTTTCCCCACTTCCTCCCTGTAATTCTCATTTCCATGAATCCTTCTGCATCTCACTGTGTCCTCCTAGTATTTAGAGATACTGTGCTGCTCCTTTTATTGGACATTGCCTTTCCTTTCATTCATCTTAATATGTGCTTATTTTATCTGTTTGTTAAATTATACTCCCCATCCACTTCCTTCCCATTCCTGATAACCATTCAAGAATGATTATATTTGCATGTAAACATTTCCTTAGCTTTTTATCACAGTTTATCATTGTATAAACAATACTTGTTCTTTTATGACTCACTCCTCATTTGCCTTATAGTTTTCTAGCTGTGTTCTTGTTATGTAGTGTTTAAGGAATTCTGTATTTTAGACTTGTATAGCCACATGTAACTGTATCATAGTTCCTCTACCCATTCATTCGTTGATGAACACTTGGGTTATTTCTCTTTGATACTGTAAGTAATATGGCAATGAACATGAGTGTGTGTAAGGAGACATTGTTTCTGTTTGGGAGATTTGTAAAAAGACTTTTGCTCAGTTACTAGTGTTGTAATATAATGTAGAAAGTTCTTGCAAAACAATTGTGTTGTTTGTATCCATATAATGTATTGTAATGTAGTGCAATGTAAGATATACTACATTTAAGCAATTAAGTCTATTCATCATGTGCTGGAAACCCTGGTGGCATAGTCTTTAAGGACTGTGCTGCTGATTCTCTGGGCCTTTCTAATTTGAATCCTCTCCAGCTCAGAATCACCAGTGGCTCCAAAGGAGAGAGAGGGGAAATCTCCTTCCTTGCCATCTACAGCCTGGGAAACCCAATGCATAGTCAGCTATGAGTCAGTTCTGAGTCAATGGCAATGACTTGAGTTGATAATATATTATTTTATTATTAAAATAGATAATAAATATTTCTAAGGGTGCTGTCTGGTCTGCTGGTAGGGGAGAAGGTTCACAGGGTCGGGTCAGGATGTACGAAACAATAAGTTACTACACTGGTGACAACAGGTGTAGTGACACCAGTGCACCAAGCTTAACAGAGGTGGAGGCTCCTCACTCCCAGGATCCACAGTTATATGAAAAACCGCTCTTTTCTTAAAAAGATGTCGTCACTATTTGAGGCCTTCGAGTATGGATCTGGAGAGAAAGAGAGAATCAAGTGAAAATGGAGCCCCTTATTGGGAAGTGTGAAAAACCTGGGACTAGAAATGTGCTCAATTTGAAACTTGTTCTATTACGCGCAGGCAAGGTACAAACCAACTGTATTCTCCCTCCCAGCTAAGCAGATTTCCAATGATACTGGTTACAGATTTCGTCTTTGCCCTCGAGCTGTCTATAAGGAGTCTATGGTTTGAAGCCAGTATTTCTTCTACCTTCAAATAGGCATCCAACTGAAATATTACATTTACTCGTTACCCAGTAACAAATCTTAGCTTCAGTGAGAGTGTTATTGTTATGCACTATTGAGTTGCAACCAATTCATAGCTGGTCCCAGGGGTTTTCAGAGGCAGTAAATCACATGGGAGGAAATTGCCCTTCTTTCTCTCCAGTAGTAGCTGGTAGGTTCAAATTGTCTGTCTTTGAGTTGGCAGCCCAACTCCTTACTAGGCCACCAGGGTCAACCTGATACTATGTATCTCATAATATGATGCAATGGCATTATTGTTGATTAACAAAAATATTTTCATTGAAATCTAATCAAGGGAGCTCTGCTGGCCTAGTGGCAAGAAGCTGCAGTGCAATCCCAAAGGTTCATGGTTCGAATCCACCAGACATTCCGCTGGAGAAGGAGGGGCAATTTCCTCCTGTGCCAGTCGGATCTGATTCGACAGTACACAACCAGAAAAAAAAAAAGAAAGTAAGAACTCTAATCAAGCCTCTAAATCTAACTGCCAGTTACACAGAGAACTACAGTTCCTGTGGAAATGATAGTAGAAGAAAATAACCAGATAAATCCAGAATGTTGGACATTCCTCAAGACAGTCATCCTGGACTCTTGCAAAAATAACATACGAATGACAGGAGTCAGTTTTGGTTGAAAGATTAAAGACATAACAAAATTCAGTGTTTGAAATTTCTTGTATACTTGCCTAAGGAAAAAAAAAGTTGATAAAGGATGTTTTGCATTAACTGAGAAAACTGGATATGAGGTGATATTTTGGAGTTACAATCAAGGTATTGGGTATGTTATTTATAATTATGTGCTCAAGTTTTTAAGGTTAGAGTATCATAATATTTTTTCAACCAGCTTCCAAAAGTATTAGAGAAATATCTGTATACAAATGTGTGTGTGTGCGCGCGCGCGCGCGCGCGTGTGTGTGTGTGTGTGTGTGTGTGTGATGTATTTGGACATACAGGGAGTTCTAGGAGCGTAGTCTGTCGGGAGTTGTACTGCTCACCCACAGGCTTCACTGGAGGTTCTAATCCACAGGCAACTCCACACACTACAACAACTATATACGTAATACACACATATGTGTGTAATATACACATATACATATGTGTGTATGTATAGTTGTAGTTGTTATGTGCCATTGAGTCAAAACCAGCTCATAGCTGACCCTCCAGCAGGCTTTCTGAGGCTGTAAATCACATGGGAGGAGATTGCTCATCTTTTTTCTGTACAGTAACTGGGGTAATAGGGGTAGGTGTGTCAGAGACAGCGAGACTGGCTCAGGATAAAGTCAAGGTCAGAGCTATTGTCCATGGCACATAACAAAACAATTATTCATATTCTCTCTCTCTCTCTCTCTCTCTCTCTCTCTCTCTCTCTCTCTCTCTCTCTCTATATATATATATATATATATATATATATATATATATATATATATATACTCTATCTATCTATCTATCATCTTCTCTATATATATATCTGCTGACCCAAAGGTACACAGTTCAAATCCACAAACTGCTCCAAGAGAGAAAGATGATCAATCTCTTCCTGTGTGATTTACTGCCTCTGAAAACCCACTGGAGTGTAAGCTATGGGATGGTTCTGACTTTGCAGTACATAACACCACCACCACCAACAACAACAACAACAACATAGATATGTAACATTTGCAGCGTGTTTACATATATTACATGTAAATACAAAAATGATACACTGAACCTTTTTTGTTTGTGTGGGAAAAAATGATAAGTGCTTACTGCATTATTATTCTGAATTTTATGTGTGTTTGAAATACAGTAAATAATTAACTCAGCAATTAAAGACTTACTCAGAATGGAGGAGGGAACCTCTGATCCAAAGTCTTGCGAATTAAGGAGAAGTGGATTCTATGCTATTTCTTACCTCTCTTTCCCCTCTACCAGCTTCCACCCTGAGTTATGCCCATTTCCTGGAGATATAATTGAGTCCTTGGACTAACAGATTTCTAAAGATAGCTTTACTTTCCTGAAAGTCCTACAGTAGGAGGGTTTCAGGGCAGGCTTGAGGGAGTGAGCATCTTATTTTCACCCATCCTACCTTTGCTTCATGGTCTATGTGCCTCAGGGACGGCTGTAATCTGCTGCTGATGGAGCTCAGGCTGACAGAATTCTCAGGTTCTGGAGGGAGAAAGAAGCAGGTGGTTAGGGAGAGAAACTTGCCTCTATGCCCCGAAACCCCCCGCTGCAGGGGGAAGCAGCCATTTTTCTCAGGAAAACCAAAATCCTTTGAACAAATTATAGACTCAGCTACCAGACCTCAGCAAGCAGTTTGCTAAGTTGTGTGAAGATATGAAAAAGCACAACCAAAAATACAAAAGTCTATTAATTCAAAAGAAAGAAGGAAAACCCTCCAGTCAGATCAATACAAAATACCAAGATGGCAGGTTTAAAAGAGCAAGAAGATAGATTTAAACCAGACATATCAATAATCATCTTAAATGCAAATGTTCTAATTTTTTTTTAAGATTCAAACTGTCAAACTAGATCTAAAAAAGGAAGACCCAAGGGTGTGGTTCCAATGAGTGAAAATGCAAATTTTCTGTAAACTTTCATTAAAAATGACTAGAAAATAAGGTTTAAAAAAATAGGGGAAACATAAAGACAAAAATAGGTAAAAGGGAAAAAAAACTTAAAAAGAAAAAAATTTTTAAAAATAGGTAAAAGGGGAAAGGGTAAAAACATAGATTAATGCAAAAGAAATGTCAGTTTGATATATTGAGATCAGATAAAATTTATTCCAGGGCAAAGACTGTTGCCAGTGATAAGGCAGATGTGGAAAGACCCCATTATTATACGTTCCAGGCTTGGCAGCCCGGCCCTTAGCCTGGGATGACGGCCACATCCTCCTGCACGTCACCAGATGTCACAGTTCTGACTCAGAGTGACCCACCTGTCTATCAGTTCTCTTTATTCATTTCCATGCATTTTCTTTGAATTTGCCTTTCCTTTCTTGACCTTGAAACTGGAAAAGTTAGCTCTCAAATTCCCAGTCTTTCCTTTCCCCCGATGAAGAGACTATCACTCCTAGCGACCTTACGAACACCACACTGACTCCTTGCCTTATTCGGTGTCATCCTCACAATAGTTTACATTTCCGTACGATGGCCATGATCATGCCCATTCAGGTACTTGCAGGAGCCAAGAGTTGAACTGAATTTCAAATGTTGTTGTTGTTGTTGTTGTTATGTGCCGTCGAGTCGCTTGCGACTCACAGCGACACTATGTACAACAGCCCTAAACTCTGCTCTGTCCTGTGCCAATCGCACTGTCTCTGACACTCCCATCCCGATTATCCCAGTAACTGAATCAATCCACCTCACAGAGGGCCTTCCCCTCCTGCGCCGTCCCTCCACCCTACCAAGCATGATGTCCCTCTCCAAGGACCGGTCTCTCCTCACAACATGTCCAAAGTATGTTAGACGGAGCCTCAGAATCCTTGCCTCCAAGGAGCCTCCCGGTTTAACCCTTTCCAGGACAAATCTGTTTGTTTTCCTAGCAGTCCATGGTATTCTCAATACTCTTCTCCAGTATCACAAAGTTTTCAGCTAAGAACTACATGTTCCCTTTGGTTTCTTCAAACCCCAGAGCCCTCCCAAGTGCCCACTATGCATTTTTTCCACATGTTGAGCCATTATCAATCCAATATTGGCAATACCTCCAGAGATGTCAAAGTTGGTGTTCTGGAAAGTCCCAGGCTCTGGTCCACCATGCTCTTCATGCCACCTGTACAACTGAGACACTTTGTGCTTTTGTCTGTGGATGGAAGCATCAGGAAGACACTGTTATGATTAAGACTCAGGCACAACCACGGGGACTAGCTGTGTTTCTGCTTTCATGTCCCTCACAGTTCACCCCGGGGATGGAATGACTGGAGACAAGAGAAATGGAAAAGGTGGAGGGACTAGAGGAAGAGGGGCCCGCTCACCTTTTCACTTCTTTCTTGGAGCGAAGCATGATCACCAAGATGGCGAAAAGCACAACCAGTACCACAGCTATTGCTGTGCCCACAAGTCCGTACACCAGATTCCTCTGAACTCTCATCTCACAGTATTCTCCACTGTACCAGTGGGTATCTGTGTTCGGGCAGCTGAGAGGGGACAGGGCAGAGGAAGAGAGAGAACAACAGAAGTCAGTGTCACAGTTGACGTTCCCAACCTTCTAGCCTCAGAACCAGGCCCTGATCCCGTGGGTATCAGAGGGTGAAGGAGACCAGGGTTAAGATATGCAGAACTAGGATCCCTGAGGGTGTGGGTCAGGATGAAGTCCAGCTCCCAAGAGGGTTTTCTTAAATAGGCCTAAAACCCAGTCTTGAGTCCTTTATCTCACTGGGAACAGTCGGCCCAGCTCTGGGGATCCTCTGGGATCTACCTGAAGGATATGAAGACCCAACAGTGACCCTTCATTTACTCATTAACCATCTTTATTTTCAGCCTTCTTTTTCTATCAGGATAAACAATCCCCATCTCATATCCAGAGTTAATGATCCACCTCTGAAACCCTTCCTACTTCCTCCTACCCATACCGTTTTCCTTTCCTCCTGGTACCAACTTGTGATTGTTCAAGAAGTCCTTCCAGAGCAACTACATAGGCCTCTGTACAATATGTGATTCCTCTCCCTATATGTGGTGTATCTCCTGGTCTCTTTTTGGTTCCGTTTCAGTTGATAATATCCTTCTAGTCTTTCCTGCTCCCAGTTTAACCATACTGGTGTGTGACACTCTTTCCCTAGTCCTTGCTGTTCCCTACCTGGAAGCAAGATCCTGTCTGCCTCGTCTGATTGGGAGTTCTGGGATGCAGTGGTCTGTTTTATGCTTCAGGTCACATAGTGCATGATGTGTCAATGTGTCAAGCAGCTAACCAAAAGGTTCATTGTTCAAATAAATCCACCATCTTCTCTGCAGGACAAAGATGGACAATGCTCTGCCCATAAAGATTTACAAGGGAGCTCTGGTGGCCTAGTGGCAAGAAGCTGGACTGTAATTCCAAAGGCACACGGTTTAGATCTGCCAAATGCTCCTCTGGAGAAGGAGGGACAGTCTCCTCCTGTACCAGTCAGATCAGATTCAATGGCACACAACTAATGGAAAGAAAGAAAGGAAAGGAAAGGAAAGGAAAGGAAAGGAAAGGAAAGGAAAGGAAAGGAAAGGAAGGAACTTAAAACAGTGCAGATTATTAACATAGCAGATTATTAACATATTCAGCTAGTGATCAAATGGTTGGATGTTCAAATACACCCAGAGTCATTTTGGGGGGCAGGGGAAGGCCTCATGATATACTTGCAAAACCCCTCAAACATAAAATTAGTTTTTTAAAAAGAAAAAAGAATTGTATTAAACAATGAAATAAAAGAATTTAAAACAACAACAATAAAAGGTTTACGGACTTGGGGTCCAATGGTGGATGGTCGCTATGAGTTGGATTGACCTGACAGCAATGGGTTTGGTTTTAGGGGTTGGTGGTACACAGTCTTCTGATTGGCTCAACACAGAAAGGATACTTGGCAGGGCAGCTGCTGAGTCACCCTTAACTTATTCTGAGTCTTGAGGCTTAGGTTACTTATGTCACCTTCCAATTCCTTTGTGATAGAGTATGTTCAGTAGTGACTGGCACCCAGTCCCTGACCTTGACCTCTAGGCAGAGTCTTGAGCAGGGGGGCTTGCTCCAGGGGTCAGGGTGGGGTGGTGGTGGTGGTGGTGGGCAGCTGCGTGGACAGGTGAGCACTCACAAGCACTGAGGACCATCTCGCTGCACCAGGCATCTCCCAAAGTGGCAGTCCATTGAGATTTTGAATCCAGGCATGCAGGCCGTGATGCAGTGTGGCAAGTCATTCTTGTATTCCACTACAAAGTATTGGGCGAAGTCTTTCCCAGCCTTCTCCCGGCACTCGGCTAAGAGGGCATGGAGGGAAGGGCTGTGAGTAGGAGGCTGGGTGTCCTCTGCCCAGCCTCCTGCCCTCCTCCAGGCCCTCAGATCACATACCTTCAGGGTCATACTGTATTCTAATTTCTTCCAGCTTGGTGGCATTTGCTCTGTAACACAGTGTGTCTGAAAAGGAGAAAAGGAATCTTATATAATGAGCTTGTTTAGCATGTGTGTAGGGATGTCTGCGACAGAAAAGTGTGGGGTTCGGAGGGAGGAGAAAACTGTCCCTGAAGAGGGGAAATGCCAATTGCACATCCATCCCTCTGGAATGATTATCCTCCAGGTGTCTTTTACGCCCCCTTTTGTCCTCTATTTTCCCCACTCACTTCCACCCAGATCCCTACACTTTGCTTGATAGGTTACAGTCATCCTGACTTGCCTAGAATTCTTGGCCCTTTCCACTTTATCCTGGCACTCCAGACTGAACTGGCTTTGCAGTCTTCATTTAGACCTTCTACTTGATCAACAAGCCAGAGCCCTTAACATCAAGCTCTCCCCACTGCCTTGCTCCCTTCTCTCACTTCAGAGAAGATGTGGGTGAGAAAGGCCCCTCCGTTTCCTTCCTGGTAATCCAGGTGTTTACCTGAGCAGTTCTTGTTATCAGTCATTACTAGCCATTTGGTAGTATTCATGATTTCTTTCACCACCTTCTGGGCGGCACTGTCCAGTACTTTCTTGTATTCTGGGGTGAAGCTCGTCCTCAGGAGGACGTTATGAACGACCACCACACTGCCACTCCTGAGAAGAGAAGAAAAGAAGAGATGTTCTTTGGTCCCCAGGTCTGTCTCTTAGGTCAGAACTTCTCATCACCTCTCAGGATCCTTCAGGGAGCTCTGGTGGCCTAGTGGTAAGAAGTTGCACTGTCAACCCAAAGGCAAGTGGTTTGAATCCACCAGCTGCTCTGTGGGAGAAAGACGGGCAATCTCCTCCAATGAAGTTTAAAGCTTTTGAAAACCCACACAAAGCTGAAAGCACACCACAGCAACAACAACTCAGACCCCTTCACTTCTCTGCTCCCACAGGAAGGCAGGTCTGGGAAGAAAGTCTAACACAACCACGCCAGTGTTTAATGTGTGAATGCTTTACCAGGCATTGTGCTGGGTACAATCACCTACAGTCCCCGTTTAATGGCCTGGGCTTCGAAAGAATGATCTCCAATGACAAGGCTCTGGAGATCCCTAAGTGGGAGTCCCAGGGGAAGAAAAAATGATGGTGAAAAGGATGCAGACCATGGGAGAGGTTATCCCTATTCACATCCCTTGTGATCAGAGTTGGGTGGCCCCTGCTGTCTGAGCCACTAAGCTTCTTGTGTTTAAACTGTGTTCAAAAGTTTGAAGATACATAATTACATTTTCCTAATCACCCATTTTTTTCCCTCTGACTCCCACAAGGTTCTAAATCCAAGCAAAAAATCTCTCTCTCAACTTGATCTAACAGGAATTAAAGGCAACAGATACTATCATACACACAGTCTTTGAGGAACAATACTAGCAGTAATCTACAAATAGATACAGAGATGAACGCTCAGTTAGAATAAGTATAGAAGGATGAATGGGACTATATTCTTATTTAAGCACTCCAAGGGAGAAATAGGGCTCTGCTGTATAGTTGTTGTTGTGTACTGTCAATTCAAAACCAACCTATAGCTGACCCTATATGAACACAGATGAATATGAAGGTGGGGAAGGTATTAGGAGAAGACAGAAGTTGATGAGTCTACCAGTTTATGAACATCAAAGATTGCTAGCAACTATTAAAAGCTTAGGGGGGTATAAATGATAAAAATATTAACAAAAGGTGACCCAACTGAGTGTGGAAACTATAGAACAATCTCACTGATTTCACATGCAAGCAAGATTTTACTGAAGATCATCCAAAAATGACTGGAACAGCACATCAGCAGAGAACTACCAGAAGTCCAGGCTGGACTTAGAAGGGGTCATGGTACTAGGGATATTGTAGCTGATGTCGGATGGATCTTAGCTGAAAACAGAGAATACCAGAGGAATGTCTATCTGTGTTTCATTGACTATGCAAAGGCATTTGACTGTGTGGATCATAACAAACTGTGGCTGACTCTGAGAAGAATGGGAATCCCAGAACACTTGATCGTTCTAATGCGAAACCTATACTTGGACCAGGAGGCAGTCATCAGAACAGAGCAAGGGAACACTGCATGGTTCAAATTTGGGAAGGGCATACGCCAGGGATGCATCCTATCTCCATACCTTTTCAACCTATATGCAGAACAGATTATCAGGGAGGCCAGGCTCTATGAGGAGAAATGTGGGGTCAATATTGGGGGGCGATTTATCAACAATCTGCGTTATGCAGATGACACAACCCTGCTTGCTGAAAGTGAAGAGGACCTGAAGCACCTGCTGCAGAGGGTCAAGGACTGCAGCCTCCAATATGGATTGACGCTCAATGTCAAGAAGACAAAGATTCTCACCACTGGACCAACTGGCAGCATCAGGATGGATGGTGAAGAGATTGAGATTGTACACAGCTTTAGTTTGCTGGGCTCCATAGTCAACACTCTTGGCACCAGTAGCCAGGAAATTAAAAGGCGCATTGTCATGGGAAAGTCTGCTGTTAGGGACCTCTCCAGAGTACTGAAGAGCAATGGTGTCTCCTTGGAGACTAAGGTGCATTTGATTCAGGCCATGGTCTTCGCAATCACTTGTTATGCATCAGAGAGTTGGACAATGACCAAAGAGGATAGAAGGAGAATTGATGCCTTTGAGCTGTGGAGCTGGAGAAGAGTATTGAAAATACCATGGACTGCTAGGAAAATAAACAGATTTGTCCTGGAAAAGGTTAAACCAGGTGGCTCCTTGGAGGCAAGGATTCTGAGGCTCTGTCTAACATACTTTGGACATGTTGTGAGGAGAGACTGGTCCTTGGAGAGGGACATCATGCTTCAGAGGGTGGAGGGACAGCACAGGAGGGGAAGGCCCTCTGTGAGGTGGATTGATTCAGTGACTGGGATAATCGGGATGGGAGTGTCAGAGACAGTGCGATTGACACAGAACAGAGCAGAGTTTAGGGCTGTTGTACATAGGGTCGCTGTGAGTCGCAAGCGACTTGATGGCACATAACAACAGCAACAACAACATGATCAACACACACACACACACACACACACACACACACACACACACACACACAGCTTAGGGAGTTCTTGTAGACTAGTAGGTAAGGAATTGAGCTGCTAAAACAAAGGCGAGCAGTTCAAATCCACCAAGGCTCCATAGAAGAAAGATGGATGTGATCTATGGTCTGAAAAATCTGCTGCAGAATCAACTATGAGTTGGTTCTGATGGCAATGAGAGAGAAAAAAAAATATGAGAGATTAAAACTTTAAGGAGATAAAAAAGCACCTTCTTGCAGAGTCAACACACTAAATTCAGACTTCTAGTCTCCGTAATTGGGAAATTAAGTTTCTGTTCTTTAAAAGCCACCCACTGTGACTTTTTTTTTAATAATAGTAGCACTAGGAAACAAAGACAAGCAGATAACGCATTTCTAAAGCCATGACTGCCTTGACTGCTATGACATGAAGCAGGAGATTCTCACTTCTTATCTACCAAATCCCAGACCTCTAACCACCCTGTGGGACAAATGATTCTCTGCTGGGTGTTTTCCAGGAGTTCACGGAACTCAACTCTGCCCTCCTATCTGGTCTGAAGGAGATGGAGTTAATGGGAGCTGGATTAATAGCTGCATAATGCTCGAGCTCTTGGTTCACCTGAGAGGGCAGAGGGGGTTGTTGAGTGAGAGGACAGGAAGGGAGCTGGCAACAGGAAGTCATTCAGGGAGAGCAACCAACAACACCTTCAGGCTGAGGCCAGGAGCACTGGGTTCGCCATCTACTCTAAAAGACAATGGTGGGCAGGGAAGAGGAGAAAGACGAGACTGACCTTAGAGAACAGTCCTATGTGGTCAGCACAGGAGAGAGGAAGTTTTAGAAAAACACTTTTTTCTCCCTCAGAAAACGAGGACGTCCTATCCAAAGGCCAGAGCTGACAGGGACGCCATGTTGTCAGCTGGCATGGAGGGACCCGGGATTCTGACCACATCCTACCCGAGTGGACGCCCTTGGAGACTGGTAAATTCACCTTCCCTCTCCTTACCACCCCCAACCCTAACCTTTCATGCTACATTGTTTCCTCTTGGCTACAAGTTCTTTTTGGAAATGATCCGTGAAAACTCTGATAGACCATGAGAAAAGGCTATTTTCCTCACACCCTGGGGATTCCTGTGGTAGGGAAACATGCAGGCTCATTGGTCAGCAACATTCAAAGAGTTTGTGTGTTGAGAGCAATAATAGGGGAGGGTTTAACGTCAGCAGAATCTGATCTTAATTTAATACAGAAAACTGTGTCTCCCTCACTCCCCAAAAAGATATGCTGGCATCTTAACCTGGTATCTGTGAACTTGATCTTGTTTGGAAGTAGAGTCTTTGAAGATGTTGTTGATTAATGTATTAATGTGAAGTTACCCTGGAGCACAGAGGGTCCTAATTCAGTCTGAGTGTTGTCAGACTGGAGAAAAGAAGTAGAGACAGAGAAGCAGGAGGAGGACACCATGTCATACCGTAGCTGCAACCCAAGAATTGCCAGGAGCCTCCAGCAGCTAGGAGAGAGACACTGATCGATTCTTCCTCAAAATCGCAGAAGGAACCACAACTGCTAAAACGCTGAATTTGAATTCTGAGTCTCCAGAGCTGTGAGGCAATAAATTTATGTTCTCTGAAGCTACTTGAAGGAGTTCTAGTGGCCTAGTGGATAAGGAACTCTATTGCCAATCCAAAAGCAACGATGTCTGAATCCTCCAGCCGCTCCACGGGATAAAGATGGGCCCTCTCCTATGTGCAATTCACTGCCTCTGAAAACCTGCTAGAGGGTCAGCTGTGAGTCGATTCGGACTCAATAGCACATAACAACAACAACAACAAAGCCATCTGCTTTGTGATAATACGCGATGGCAGCCTTAAGAAACTACCAATCCAAAATATACAAGTATATTGATACCAAAGTATACTATCAATCCATCACTCAGACAATTCAAGTGAGAACAATCTTATCGGCCAGTCTTACAGAGTAGCTAGCTATGAACCTTCAATGGAGAGTGAATGTGGAACTATAATTGTTGGAGGGCATAGTATAACTTTCTTTACAGTTATCCGTGTCTTTATGACTATTGCTTCCACTCCAAAGACCCTCTTCCAAGCAGCCTAAGATACTCACAGTATTTTTGTGATGTTGATGCCGTAATACTCAGGGATTCCAGAATAAAATCGGTTCATCTGAAAAGCAAGGGAGCCACGATGTCACACTAGAGCTCTCACTTGGGACCTCCTGGCCTTTCCATTGATTTTCAAGAGGGCATAGGATGGATCACCCTGTCCTGCAGCTACCCTGGTCCACTCCAAGCTTTCTGTAGCATGCTGTCTGGAGGGCATGGTCTCCATGCAGATACCAACCCCACCCTGGAGCCCCTGCAGCCTCCCAGTGGGATCTTGCTTTGGCGTTGTTCTCCATCCCTGGAAAATGTTGAGGATATGGGTGAACTGAGAAACGCATGTATGTCTCGTGAGAGAAGAACCTTTGACATCTGGCCTAGCTCTCCCTAGGGGACTTAAACCGGAGGCCTTATTCTCCCAGCCTCACCTGTTCCGTGAATAACTTCTTGAAATTCAGGAACTGATCACTTTCATGTTCAGTGTAGTTTTTATTGGTCACTGTCACAGATAGTTCCACTTGGGCAGTGACTATCTCTGGCGGAGGTTCTGAGAAGGGAAGGGGTTGGAGAGAATCAGTGAGGACAGCCTCCTCACTGAGTCCTTGGTCAAGGATGCCCACAGCTTCAGTAACCCCACCCCAGGAGGTGAGAGCAATTAATTCTCTACCCTAACCCTCTGTCCCTAGGTCTTACACTTTTTCACCCAAGTGTCCCTGAAGAGAAAAGAAAGGACACTATCCTGACAGCTCTGGGATGAAACCCAAATGACTTTAGGGTCTGTTTGATTATAAAATGTATCATCGATTTTATACTCCATCTCACAACAAATCTGAATTTTTAAATATGTTTCATTTAGACCTCGGCTAAATGTGCTTAATTCCAGTATATTATCATGTGGGAGTTTGACTGCTGTTTTGATGTATTACACTAGGTAAATTATGCCCCCAGAAAAGACCTTATTCATTCCTCTGCTCTGAAACGAGGCAGGAACAAGGACCTGGCACGGAGGCTGAACTCAGGGCAGGGGAGGGGAAGTTGTGATGTCAGCTCACCAATCTGTAGGCTCTCAAGCATCATCTCACATCTAGGCCCGTAGTAGGGGAGGGTGCAGATGCACTTGATCCCATCCCAGGAGCCTCCATTCTGGCATTCAACATCAGGTGTAGGTGTTTCACACCAATCTCCTCCGAAGCCAGGGGGACAGTCACAGGTATTTCCATTCCAGTGTCCTCCATTGGAACAGATTACTGAAAGGGACAAGACCCTGCTTAACCACACATATCTGTTCCACATTTTACAGCCTGCCCCATGCTTTCACACACACTGTCTGTTATGAATATAACGGTGTTTCCTTATCTCCCCCCATGTATACTCCCAGACTTTGCAAATTGTTTAGAAGAAGGACCTTTAAAGACATAACTTAACCTGTAAGTCCTACTGGAATAGAGGGCATCCAAATCCAATCTGAGTGATATCCTTACTGAAGAGAAGACAGAGAAACACAGGGAGAAGGTAGCCATGTGAAGATGCATCTACCTGCGAAGGAATACACAATGCTACTGGAAACTAGAAGAAGCAAGGGAGGACCTTTCCCTAGAAAAGAGAGAGCCAACGCCTTAAATCAGAACTCCAAGCATCCAGAACTGTGAGACAAGATGGTTCTGTTCATTAAAGCTTTCCACCTTGTGATAGTTTGTCAATGGTACCCTAGGAGACTAAGACACTGATGCTTTTATGAAATCTGTGGGTAGCCGGGATTGTCAGCATCATTCCCAGACTCAGCAAGAGAAGTGAGACCGAGAGAGGCCAGGAGGCCCCACATGGAGCTAGACTTGACATGATCTTGGAGTCTATTCCATCATTCTTTGGACTAGACCCAAAAATATTGAGAAAAGAGAAGCCAAGTGCTGTGAGAGATGGTGGACAACACGCTTGGGGGCAGCGAGGGGGAGGACAAAGCAGAAACAAATACTGAGAGGATCTTGGTTGGCTTGACCAATCGAGCCAACAAGCTTGGTAACGGGCATCATGAACTATTCCTTGGACACCTGCACATACTGCAAGTTGCTACCATTGTGACTATTTGTGATTCCCCTTTTATTTGCTGGGAGGTGGCTTGAGGGCTCCAGTGGTATCATCTGAGCTGTACTGCTAACCCAAAGATTTCACATGTCCAAAGGTTCAAATTCTCCAGCTGCTTTGTGACAGAAAGATGAACAGTCCCTACATGTTGCGATTTACAGCCTCAGAAACCCAATGGAGGGTCCCTGTGACTCAATGGCAGTGAGGGGAATAGGTCTAAGGTTACAAGGTAAGAAATGGTTATAGGCAATTCTCTAATGTTTCTGCTAATTAATCTGAAAAACTATATTTCTGTCTTCTTTGACTTTTCTTAAAAATAATTATGCCTGTGTAGAACAGTGTTTGGAGTGTGTATTTTCTGAGGAGGCACATAGGCTTGTGTACATTCTGCATGAACCAGTCTCACTTCTGCCTTCTAAGTGTATCCCTTGCCAGCCACAGAGAGGCAGAGCCAAGCTAATGGGAGTTATGTCATTCAGTCTCTTGACCAAGCTTTGGTCCAAGAGGACTAAAAGGATGGAACAGATAAGGCAAGCATTCTGGCACATTGCTGCTGCTGCTGCTGCTGCTGTTGTTGGGTGCCACTGAGTCCACTCCAGCTCAGTGCAACGTTACACCCAATAGAATGAAACTGTGCCCTATCCTGTGCCCTCACAGCGTCTGCTGTACTTAAGCTTCTTGCTACATACAGTCACTGTGTCAATCCATTTGTTCAAATTTTAAAAATATAAGGAAGTAGAGAAAGATAAAAACAATAGGTTATTAAGGATAATAGGATAATTGTAATTAATGGAAGAAAAGTAAAAACAAAAGGTTATGGTGACTAAAGATTTAGTAAGAAATCAAAAGGTAGAATAAAAATTTAAAAGTAAATCAATATAAACAATTAAGCAAAAAAAGAAATATGCATTTTACAGAGAAACAAAGATTTTAAAATTACTTACCTGATGTAGCTGTTGGAGAACTGGAAGCTGTGATGGGGATGCTTTGGGATGTAGTAGTGGAGGAAGTAGTGAGGGCAGTGGTGACGGGGAATGAGGTGGAAATATTGCTCATCGTGCTAGACTTCATTACAGTTGTTTGAGATGTGGAAGTGACAAATTCAGATGTTATTGACATAGAAGTGGAAGAAGTTGTTGTACGAGGGCTTGAGTGAAGAGGAGAAGACACAGATGAGAATGTTTGAGAATCTGTTGTTGAATATGTTTTGGATTCAGTAGGAGTGGCTCTTGTTGCAGTACTAGCAGGCATGGGAGTTGAAGTTTCTCTTTCTGTTGAAGTTGACATGGTGGTGTCACTAAGGGTTGAAGTAAGTGGACTGGTCTGAGTGGAAGTTGTTGCTGATGCTGTGGTGTCAGTAGCACTTGTTACTTTTGTAGAAATTGAAAGAGATGTGGCGGTTCCCTCAGACGTTGGAGTAGATGATCTGACATCAGTAGAGGTAAACTCAGTTACAGTAGTAGTCATCGAAATGGTATGTGAAGATGTTCCTCCATCAGTGGAAGTTGAGTGAATTGTAGTAGTGCCACTTACACTTGGAGTAAGTGGACTGGTCTTAGCAGAAGTTGTTGCAGATTCTGTAATGTCAGTAGCACTTGTAACAGTTGTAGAAGATGAGAGAGATGTGGAAGTTTCCTCAGACATTGGAGTAGGTGAGCTGAAATCAGTAGAAGTAGCCTCAGTGGCAGTGGTAGTGATAGAAGTAAGATGAGCTGTGGTAGTGTCACTTAGAGTTGGAGTAAGTGGACTGGTCTCAGTGGAAGTTGTAGATACTGTAGTGTCAGAGCCAATTGTCACTGTTGTAGAAGTTGAAAGAGAAGTGGAGGTATCCTCAGATGTTGGAGTTGGTGAGCTGGTATCAGTAAAGGTAGTCTTGGTGGCAAAAGTAGTGATATAAGAGATAGTGGGAGATGTTCTTTCACCAGTGGAAGTTGACTGAGCAGAGGTAGTATCGCTCACAGCAGAAGTGAGTGTACTGGTCCCAGTTAAACTTGTAGATGCTGTGGTGTAAGAAGCACTTGTCACTGTTGTAGAAGTTAAAGGATATGTGGATGTTTCCTCAGACGTTTCAGTAGTTGAGCTGGTTTCAGAATTGGTACCCTCAGTAGCAGTAGCAGTAATAGAACTGATAGTTGAAGATAGTCCTCCATCGGTGGAAGATGACTGAGCTGTGGTAGTGCCAATCACAGTTGAAATTAGTGTACTAATCCCTGTAGAAGTTGTGGAGGCTATGGTGTCAGAGGCACTTGTCACTGTTGTAGAAGTTGAATGAAATGTGGAGGTTTCCTCAGATGTTGGAGTAGGTGAGCTGGCATCAGTAGAGGTAGGCTCAGTTGTAGTAGTCATAGAAGTGATAGGTGAAGATGTTTCTCCATCAGAGGAAGTTGAGTGAGTTGTGGTAGTGCCACTAAGAGTTGGAGTAGGTGGACTGGTCTTAGTAGAAATTGTTGTTGATGCTGTGGTATCAGTGGTACTTGTCAAAGTTGTAGAAGTTAAAAGAGATGTGGAAGTTTCCTGAGATGTGGGGGTTGGTGAACTAGTATCACTGGAGGTAGCCTCGGTGGCAGTACTAGTAACAGAAGTGCTAGTTGGAGATGTTCCTGTATCAGTAGAAGTTGCCTGAGCTGTGGTGGTGTCACTCACAATTGGAGTAAGTGGACTGGCTTCAGTAGAAGATATAGATACTGTGATGCCAGAGGAAATTGTCACAGTTGTAGAAGATGAAACAGATGGAGGAGGCGAGCTGGTATCAGTAGAGGTCGTCTCAGTGGCAGTGATAGTATTAGAAGTAATAGTTGGGGATATTCCTCCATCAGTGGAAGATGACTGAGCTGTGGTAGTGTCACTCACAGTAGAAGTGACTTGACTAGTCCCAGGAGAAGTTGTGGATGCTGTGGTGTAGGAGGCACTTGTAACTGTTGTAGAAGTTGAAAGAGATGTGGAGATATCCTCAGATATTGGGGAAGATGAGCTGGTCTCAGTAGTGATAGAACTGATAGTTGAAGACAGTCCTCCGTCGGTGGAAGTTGAATGAATTGTTATAGAGTCACTCACAGTTGCAGTAAGTGTACTAGTCCCAGTAGAACTTGCAGATGCTGTAGTGTCAGAAGCACTAGTCACTGCTATTGAAGTGGAAAGAAATGTGGAGGTTTCCTCAGATGTGGAAGTAGGTGAGCTGGTTTGGGTAGAGGTAGCCTCAGTTGCAGTAGTAGTCATAGAAGTGATAGTTGAAGATGTTACTGCATCAGTGGAAGTTGACAGAGCTAAGGTAGTGTCACTCACAGTTGATGTAAATGTACTGGTCCCGGTAAAAGTGTTTGCTGATGTTGTGGTGTCAGTGACACTTGTCACAGTTGTAGAAGTTGAAAGAGATGTGGAGGTTTCCTCAGATGTTGGAGTCGGTGAGTTGGGATCCGTAGAGGTGGCAGTGATAGTATTAGAAGTAATGGTTGGAGATATTTCTGCAGCAGTGGAAGATGACTGAGCTGTCGTAGTGTCACTCAGAGTTGGAGTAAGGGAATTGGTCTCAGTAGAAGCTATAGATGCTGTGGTGACAGGACCAATTGTCACTGTAGTAGAAGGAGAAAGAAGTGTGGAGGTGTGCTCAGACGTTGGAGTAGCTGAGCTTGTATCAGTAGAGGTAGCCTGAGTGGCAATAGTAGTGAGAGACGTTATAGTGGGAAATGTTCCTCCATCAGTGGAAGTTGACAGGGCTGTGGTAGTGTCATTCACAGTTGGAGCAGGTGTAATAGTCCCAGTAGAAGTTATGGATGTGGCAGTGTAAGAGGTACTAGTCCCTGCAGTAGAAATTGAAAGAGATGTGGAGGTTGCCTCAGACGTCGGAGTAGATGAGCTGGTATCAGTAGAGGTAGCGTGAAAGGCAGTAGAAGTGACAGATGTGATAGTTGAAGATGTTGATCCATCGGTGGAAGTTGACAGGGCTGTGGTAGTGTCACTCACAGTTGGAGC